CGACCCCCGAACGGGCTTGAACAGGCTTTTTGGCCCCGCAGGCTTAACCTCGGGCCAAAAATTCCGGCCCGCATAAAATTTGAGCCGGGCTCGGGCTTTGCCAAAATAGCCCAGCCCGAGCCAGAGCCAGGCCCGGCCCGACCTATAGTTAAACCTAAGTAAAAACCCTATGTGATGTTCATTTGAATAAATTTTTTGATTTGAGAAGGTTGTTGATTCACTTGTAGGCCCATTGTTCATTTAAATAGGGGGAAAAAACATCTGAATTAAAATAGATAATGTCTATTTAAATAGGGAAAAATTCGAATTTCTTTTATTAGGTCGGGCTTCGGGCTCGAGCTTGGGCTTCAGGCTTTTTATCAGGGCCGGGCTCGGGCCCAAGTTGTAGGCCCGTTGGTCGGGCCGGGCTCGGGCTCGGGCTCGGGCCTAACATTTTTCTATTAATAAAGAGTCAAAGCCCCGCCCGAGCCCGGCCCGGCCCGGCCCATGAACAAGTCTACTGGTAAGCATGGTTGTAAACGGGAGTATACTGTTAAATACTTGCCAGATGGTAGTGTGGAGCGTCTAAACGCCAGACTTGTTGCTAAAGATTATTCACAGTTGTATGGAGTGGACTATATGGAGACCTTCTCTCTATTGGCTAAGATTGGCTCTGTCCGTGTGTTAATTTCCCTAGCAGTTATGTATGATTGGCCCTATTTCAACTTGACATCAAAAATGCCTTCCTTCATGGTGACCTTATGGAGGAGGTATATATGGAGCAACCACCTGRGTTTGTTGCTCAGGGGGAGGATGATAAGGTGTGCAAACTGAAAAAGGCAATTTATGGGTTGAAACAATCGCCTCATGCTTGGTTCGGGAAGTTTAGTGAAGTGGTGAAAAATTTTGGAATGAAACAATGCCAGGTTGATCACTCAGTGTTCAGCTATGACTCAGAAGCYGRAAAGATTTTATTAGTGGTCTATGTGGATGATATTGTCATAACTGGTAGTGACAAATTGTGGATTGACAAACTAAAGGTCTTTCTACAAAATCATTTTCAAACAAAAGACCTTGGGACATTGAAGTATTTCTTGGGTATAGAAGTTGCTAGATCAAGACAAGGTGTAAACCTGTGCCAAAGAAAATATGTTTTCGATCTTCTGGACGAAACAAGACAATTAGGTGCAAAACCGGCTGAGACTCCTATGGAACCAAATGTTAAGTTGAGCAGTGATACAGGGGAAATATTTGATGATCCTGGAAGATATAGACGATTAGTGGGGAAACTGAACTATTTGACTATCATGAGACTAGACATCTCCTTTGTAGTCAGTGTGGTGAGCCAATTTATTCAGAACCCTCGTATATCTCACTGGGATGCAGTTCTTAGAATTGTAAGATATTTGAAGGGAGCTCCGGGTCGTGAGTTATTATATAAACCAGGAGGAAAACTTGAAGTAGTTGGGTACACAGATGCAGATTGGGCAAGCTCTGTGTCTGATAGAAGATCTATTATAGGTTACTGCACATTTCTTGGAGGAAATCTTGTGACGTGGAAGAGTAAAAAGCAGACGGTTGTGGCTAGAAGCAGTGTTGAAGCCGAGTATAGAACCATGGCACACACTACATGTGAATTAGTRTGGTTGAGGAATCTCCTACAAGAAATCGGGTTCCACATGGGTAAACCTATGAAATTGTACTGTGACAATCAAGTTGCGCTCCATATCTCATCCAACCCTGATTTTCATGAGAGAACAAAGCACATAGAGATTGATTGCCACTTTGTGAGGGAGAAGGTTCTTATTGGAAAGATAAGCATAGAACATGTAGGCTCAGGTGATTAGTGGGCAGATTTGTTTACAAAAGCCTTAARCTCAGGGAGAGTGAACTATATATGTAACAAGCTGGGATTATATGACATATATTCTCCAGCTTGAGGGGGAGTGTTAGAGTTAGCCGAATAAGGGTAGATTAGTTAACTCACCTTTGTTAAGTTATGTGCTTATGTGGCAGTCTTATTAGAGACTCTTTGTCCCATACTTAAGTGGGGGCAGTTTAGTCTTTGTACAATTAATTAGAGCCCTATTAAGAGGTCAACTGATAGGGTTGAGTCTATCAGGTTCGACAATTCTTTCATCTTCTTCTCTTCTTCTTCTTCTCCTTACTGGTTCGGACTACTGTAGCAGCAATCGAAACAAAATTCAAAACTAAATTGGTGGGTCCCACTTAACATTGCTTTATACAATTTGAACATATGAATTTTTTTTGTACAAAGAATTTGTTGGTCCTACATAAGAAATTTGAACATAATTGATGGTGGTGAGCCCCACATCAGAAATTGGTAGGCCCTACATATATAAGACATGTCACCACATTTCTTAAAGACATGAAGATATATGAGAATTTTTATTAAAAATAGTGGACCCCACATATTTGAGACACATCACCACATATCTTCCAAATCTAAAGAATTTTTACAAGAAGAATTAGGGGGTCCCTCATGAGAAATTTGAACATAATTGATGATTTCCACATGGAGATGGAAGCATACTATACAATGTTTCTCTGTATTAACTTGAATAGTAGGTATTCCCAAATATATAACACATGTCATCATATTTGTTCCAAGAATGAAGCCAACTCTTTCCCTAGTGCAACAGGACATCTAGGCATGCTACACTTGGAGAAGAAATGGACTTATAGCCCATTCCTGCGCAATCTTGGTGAGAATGAGCTAGAAATGGACTCCAGGATATGAACCAAACAGGCCCTAAGTTGCCTATCCCGGCCCACCCACCGGCCAATATAAATGAAATGAAATGTTAGATGAGATAGATTACCAAGAATGCCCTCCCCTTTACAATTGGTATGTCTCCAATTCCCACTTCCCCAGAAATAGGAGGGGTGCACTAGTGTATAAAAAGACATTTGAAATTACTACAATTATGAGGAGAGCTTATGGGCAAAAAATGAGAATTCCGACGGCTTTTTCCACTAATGATCCATGTTCACAAGAGAGACGATTCCATGTCTTACAATGTTCAAGCAGCATTCTTGTTGGAAGGCTTGTTTTAGGATGCTCAGAACCTACTGGACATCCCTGAAGGATGGAACATCATGAATAAAGAACACAAGCTTTAAATCTATAGGTAGTAGTGACCTTTTTCCTCTTTTTTTGTTGGGTAAAAGGCCTGTTCTATCTTCTACCTTCTAAAGTAATGTTGTTTAATGATTGAAAGACATCAAGAGAATGGAAAGACAATACAATATATCACAATGTTCAAATATTAAAGAAATCATGTATAACTCACATGCTATAAAAGGGTCAATAAGTCAATTACTTATACACCTCCTATAGATTCATGTATTTACTAAAACCTACCCCTATAGTTTGTGTATTACTAAAACCTACCCTAGGTTTTTTATTCCAGCAACTCTCATATCAACAAAATCCAGGGGAAAAATCAATATTTTGCTTATTTATTTTCTTTTGATTAATTTGGTCAAATAGACATTAGGGTTAAAAACGTACAGTGAGTAAAGCAGTTGCAAACTATGGAGGTGTCTTAGTAATATGCAAACTATAGGGTAGGTTATAGTAAATACGTTAAACGATAGGGGGTGCCTATGCAAATGACCAACTGTAAAATTTTCTCTTCCTTTGGTAAAAATTGGCTTCTGCAGTCTTTAGAAAATACCCTACCCCTTTAGAGAATCACCATATTTGAGAAGTATGAACTCTTGCCTATAGAATTCCCACCTATGAAAGGTACATTCCATGTGCCTATTCATGCCATTTGTATTCAGTATAGAAAAAAAGAGCAAAATAACCAGGAAAAATGATGTAGTTCTGAAACTTGCAATACATTTCCTTTATCAATATCAGCTTCATTCTGATCCGCCAGGGACTACAAATATTTTATGGATGCATACAACATGACAAGCAGCCCTTACATGCTGTAATGGTAAAATCTTGGGCTGAAAAGTGTGAGAATGCGGGTTCTAGTCTTAGGATGGCCACTTGGTGCAAAAGAATGCCAAAGTTTAGAACTGTACCCAGTGTACCCCTCCCAAGACCCCAGATAACTGGGGCCAACATTGAGCAATGCCCTTTTTCTTGTACTGCATGACGAGCAGGACAGATACCTGTTCTAGAAATTATAGTGACACTGGAAAATACTTCCAATTAAAGCCACCTCCCCCTTTTATTTGTTCATATCTAATTGTGCAGGGTTTAATTTGACCCTTAAGATGATAGAGCTAACTGGTTTAGCTTCTAGATAAGCATAGAGAAATACATAAACAAAACCAATAAATCATCCTTTCTTTGCATTTAAAATTTTAAATATTGGGGAACATTAGACAAAGGTCAACCTGATATAAAGACTATTTCAGGTTGCACATTGATCTTCTGTTTTTGCAATGCCATTTTGGCACAAATGGATGGGTTCCATCTAAGAGATCGTTTACAGCAAAAAATCAACATAATCGGACTATTTTGACAGGATCTATAACATGTTTTATGAGCAATTTAGAACCTCTGTAGACCTTCCAAATTTAAAAGGAAAACTTATAATTCACATCATCTACTAATGCTGATTTCTGGCATGCATGATCTTTTTGTAGGAACCAACAATTTGTTCCGAAATTACATTGGAAGAGCAAGATATCAAGGGTCAAAGGGCGGGATCCGAAACAAGATCATTTCAGGTCAACTTTTTCCTAATATTCCTCTTAAATATTTAAACATGAACAGAAAATATCATGTTAAGGAAAATATAAACACATTTGATAATACTCTAAAACTTCAAATTTCTTAAAGTCAACTCGAAGCACACCAAGTCAACAAGCAGTAATTTTCCAAAAGTCCAGAAAAAAAAAACAACCTTGGATCTCAAGACAAATGCATGACCTCAAAGAATTGATGGGAGATACAAAAAGAACCAAAAGTAAAATAAATGAAGACCTCAGTTCTAGAACAAATAAGCAAAAAACGTAGAACGGAACGTAATACTCACCACCAGAATGCAAAGCAGCAATCTGCGAGAAAGCAAGAAGGAGTTCGACAATGCTGTTATAAGCAAAGAAAGAAAGAAAACCAAAGAGGAATAGAAAACAAGTATCCGAATGCTTACAAGGAGTATCAGCTTGAATAGTGCCCACGAGATCAGTGTGCCAGAGATTCCGGTAATTCTGGCGTTGCGTCATCTTGTCCAGTTGCGCCTGGGACGCCGCCATGGCTGTATGCAGTATACGTCTACGAGCGACCTATTGACAAGATTCAGAAAAACGAACCAAAAGAAAGAAACAGAAGAAGAAAACAAAAACCCTAATTTCTTTACCAAGGAAGCACCACCTCAGCTGTAGAGTTTCCTCGCGAAGGCACCCCGACGTAGCTTCTTCAGGAACCGGAAAACCAAACCAATGACCACCTCCTCTTTCTAGCAGCGAACGACCGAAACTGTAAGCGACGGTGACGGGCCGAGGATCATAAATATATATATATATATAAAAGACTTTTGAGTTGAGCCGAGAGTAGGCCAACCCCACAGCCAGTAAACGTCTTTGAGAAGACTTCTGGAAATGATACCATGAACCTATTCTTCTAAGCCAGAGCAACGACTCCATCACTGTAAACCATTCGATATTTTAGTATCAGACTATCAAGACGAAATAATCAAATTCGTGAGCCGCTAGACTTAATCCAACGGCCAAATCAAAAAGTGTGTGGTGCTAAACTGCTAATATGTTAGCATTGTAATGCTCCCATTCCGAGCATCGTTGGTCCAGCGTGGACATACGCAGATTGGTCTGGGCCCAAAATCCGAATAGTTTGTTCGCACATATGAGGAGATTAGGGCCCACTTTAGATGCACCAATCAGATGGTTAAAACTAAAAGTCATCTGATTGCCGAACGAAAAGCAGAAAGTTTGAAGAGGGCAATGTCATGTTATATGGGCCCCATACCTATTTACTATTTGTAGACAAAAACGCTCCATCAAGCATGACCATCCCATTTGGGTGCCATTGCCTGTCCTTGTTAGTCCAAGTGTTTGTTGCCAAATAACTGCTTCCAACGACCATGCATAGTAATCCCTCCGCGTTGTTAACGCGTATGGGAGCGCTAAACGGTTAGCGAGAGACCGGGGACGGTCCGTTTGATTTGAATAAATATTTTCATAATAAATAAGGGTAAATTTTTTAAATTACCCTTATGGTTTAACACTAAGTGTATTTTTACTGTTTTAAAATTGATTAATGTTACTTTTATTATTTCTGATAATTGACTAATACTTTCATTATCGTCAGTGTCCGTTAACAAAAGGTTGAAAAAGACTATTTTATTCCTCATTCTTCTTCAAATTTTCAAAATAAAACTTTTGACACCTTTCTCACATTACCGAGGTTTATTTCCATAATGAAATCTCTCTTAGAAAAATTTATATACGATTGATCAGTAAAAAAAATCATTAGAATAATCTTTGATCAACAAAAAAAGATGATTAATCAGAAGCAAAAACGCGATCCAGAATAGGTATCTATTACTCTGTTTGAGTTTGGGGTCTATTTCAGTCCTTCTGGTTCGATCAGATGATGCTAACAGGCATTTTTCCGGGAATGGCATTTGAAAGTGTCGTCGACAATGGTAGAACCAGTAGCTTCAGATTGCTGAAGTGTAAATCCGATGGCATACGTAGTGGGGTGGAATATTTTAGTTCATGCACAATTGCTCTGCCAGTTTAGGTGATTGCGAAAGCCAAGTACATTTCTCTGAGAGTCCGATGACCCCTCGTTTTTGAGTGCTCCGACTTCTTTGATTAAGGCTCGGATCGAGAAAACATCGGCGGCCTCTGTGCACAGTGTTAAAGGCCATCAACGAGCATCCTCTCTCTATACCCATCTAGGATGAGGGGTCACCCCTTAGTTCGACGCAGAAATATCCGCCGATGAGCCAAATACTGAACTAGCTAAGATTGAATGGGACCCGCCAACGAAACAACGATGATTGGTGATAAACCCCTTAGTTATCACCAGTCTCCTTTGTAGCTCTGCCAGCACCGACTGACTGTGTTTTGTTTTGCACTCTCATCTTAATATGTGCTCTGTCGTTATTGCAACACCAATATCACCCCATGAACAGCATCGCTCCACTCAGATCATCTCTCACCACAAACATGAATGGATGATCTGCTACGAAATCTATGGGGAAGGAAAAGCATTGTTGCTGAATTACAATAGCAGTGCCAGCAGCAGCCTCAGCTCCTGCTTCATCAATTTCGATGAAACATTTATGGTAAGCTCCTGAAACGTAAAGATTACCACCATCCAGTGGACCTGTTAGCATCTCAGTCAGCTCTGTTTTGTTCTTGTCAAAAGGCATCACTAGTCCTAGTTCCTTGAGGACGCTTGAAGCTTCAAAGCCGAATGAGATCAGGGAGATGGCGATCTATAAATCCTGGATCGGAAGCCACCTTCTCGATCAAATCAGAAGTCCATCTCTCTCATCGGGAAGAAAAGGGAGATGGGGGCCTCCATTGGTGAGAGGTCCTTTGACGGAATCGACGAGTTGACGGCCAACCTGTTGGAGATGATCGATGTTCTGGGACTTGAGGAATGATAATATCTGTGCCAATGTTCGACTGCTGGATCCGCAACCTACAAGGCTATCTCAAACCGAGGTAGATAGAAAAGGGAGAGAAGACAAAATTGGAGTTGTTCGCCTCGTTTAAGGAGGAGCACTTGGCGAGTTGCAGACATAAATCGGTTTGTACACTCATCGGTAGCCTGAACTCCATTTGGAACCTCGGCTGATAAGAGTTCCTGAAGTTAGGAAGGCTGAACACTAAAGACATGGAAGAACAATGAAGGCCCTTCCGATTTCCCAAGAGAAAGCGCGTAGGTGGTACTGTCTGTCATAGGAGTTCATTACATGATCTGGATCCCTACGAAGCCTTACCTGTTGACCTCTGAAACTACTCGCCGCCGAGCAAGATGCTTGGACCCTCTGAAGCTATTCGTCGTCGAGCAAGATGCCTGGACCCCCTTTTTTTCCTCCCTTTCTTTCTTTGAGGCTCGGTTCGTTCTTTCATTTTTTATCATCTTTTTTAATCGTTTTTTTCTTTTTTTTTCATGCTTCACCTGGAGATAAGAGAGAGATAAGCAGCATTGGGGTGAACCGGTGTAGACAGAGGTGAAAGGGTTTTTTTAGGAATGGAGGTGGGAAGGGTATTTTCGGAATTTTTGATAAATATATTAGTCACATGACAGAAAGTTAACGGATATTAATCAATTGTTAGAAACAATAGGATAGCATTAGTCAATTTTAAAACAGTAAAATTATACTTAATCAATTAACTAAACTATAAGATAGTTTAAGAAATTTACCTAATAAATAAATACACATCAAACGGCAACAGCAATGACGTGCCCTCATTAAATGCCCTTTTGTATCTTTGTCTCTCTCCCACGCAAATAACCTCTACGCCCAACGTCAAGGGTCTGTTCAATTGTAAGGGCCTATATTTGTTTGTTGAGAAAATTCATTTTCCAATATTCATTTTGTAAGAAAATGTGTATGAGAACATAAAACTATTCGACTATAAACATACATGTAATTTACTTATAGGATGGCATGGCTTGCATCCCCAAAAGTATGACATGTATCAATAAACTTGTTACGTGGCAAGTTTTTGGATTTAAAGAAGAGATTATAGTTGATAAGGGCAATTTTTGGACCCTAATATTAATAAAAGTAATACTTTTAATAAAATTTCAAAAATATGTTAACTTTTTAAAAATAATATCAAATAAGGGCAAAAACATTATTCATCTTCTTTCTTTTGCAGATCATTCATTAGCACCACCGTCCACCGCCGCCCCCGGCAACCTCTGCTAGCGCCTTCGCCTACCTCCACTGCCTCCATCCACCTCTGACAATGCCTTTGCCCACCTTCTTCTTACTCTAGTGTGCATTCCACTGCCTTTGTGCTCCCCTCTACAAGGTATATACCCAAAAAGAAAACTTGTATACAACAAAGAATTGCTTGGTTCATGATCATGGTTCATGAATGTATTTGATAACTTTTTTTTTCTCTTGCAGGTTACCCTCCCAGATTTTTTCTTAGTCGACCAGCTAAGCAGTCAGGTCTGATATCTGAAACAATAGTACTGTAACAACATCTTCCGGTCGGTCGGTTAATTAACAAGTGGTACATACGTTGTTATGCTTGTTTTGACAGGTCCAAGCAATCAGAAGCCTAGAGTTGTACATCTGCTACTATGGTTGGGGAAACTACGAAAAGAGAGAACACAAATTCAACGTCAGTGGCATTTACAACACTTTCTATTTCATTGTGGTCGTAATTCCATACCGGTGCCACTTCTTTCAAGTAGGTTATTGTTGTCCCAATATATATTAGTTGAACTTGCAAAATCATCATCAGTAGCTTCCTTATATTTTCCAACAACAATATAATGCCGACGGGTGGCGGTACTTGACATTCTGAAGCTATATATTTAAATTTAATTAGTGTGCTTGACAATTGTGGCCGTCATCATGAGAATGGCTTACAGCTTGCAAAAGGTAGAGATTTGGAAAATCCTGGCAATGACGATTTCAGCCATTTCAGCAACGGGAAGCACATACTGGGACCTTGTCATTGATTGGGGGCTTCTGCAGCATCACTCTAAGAACTTCTAGAGGAGGAGGTGGAGGTGGGCGGAGGCAACGGTGGGCGGCGGCGCTGATGAATGATCTATTAGAGGAAGAAGATGAATAGTGTTTTTGCCTTTATTTAATATTATTTTTATAAAGTTAACCTATTTTTGAAATTTTATTAAAAGTATTACTTTTATTGATATTAGGGCCCAAAATTTTCCCTTATCAGTTATAATCCCTTCAAAGAACCTGTTCACTCATCAAAGAATCTATTTAGGCAACAATGTAATTTTAATTTTGAAGTAGGTTTCTAACTCAAATGTGATTTCAATTACAGATCTGAAATTTCTTTGGGGCATGCCCTATTCTCTTTTAGTGATGGCTTTAGGTATAGTAGAGTGGTGGAGTGAAGAAATTAGGAGATGTATGGAGATCTCTGAAACATGCCTATTCTCCCAAACTTTCTAGACCTTGGCATGAGGTTGGTATTCAATAATTAGGCTCCTAGACATGACCAGAGACCGCATAAATGGTTATTGGATGATATGAAAAGTAAGATCCCATTGGCAGGTGAAGATTAGAAGAGTAAAAGCACAAAATTAGAAGTAATAACCCAATAACAAATCACCCAATGCTTGTTCTCCCAAACTTTCAATCCCTTAAAAATATCAAGGACCATGAATGGAAGTATGACTGATCACTAATATACAAAAAAAAAAAAGAAAACAAAGGCAAAATCAGCATAAACCACAAGTGAAAAGGACCAACTAAGAAACATGGTTGTTAAAATTTGTCAAACTCACCTTTTTTTATGAGGGGAATGACAAAACCATTTG